GGATCCTATTTTTTTTTGATTTTATTATAATATCTTTTCCCGTGGGAATTACATAATTTCCCTTGGTAAAAATAGCCTATGTCACTCTCCAGCGCTCCAACTATCTCCATACGAAAAATCACGCCAATCCGTCACTCTGATTCGACGTGAAAGAAGGACCAACAAACACACAAACTTTCATATTTATAATATTAGTATGGATATGATTTACTATTAACGATGAAATATTTTGAAGTATTACTTATTCATTAAAAAAACTAAGATTGCCTTAGGATTGACAAAAATGTATAGATAGCTTATATTATAATAGACGGACTCGGACAGCCATACAAGTGACCCTACATGGGTTCCTCCGTTCAGGAAATGTGTCGAACACTTAAAATAGTAATCAAATTTAATAGAAGCTAGTGAATATATTCCGGCGCTACTTTGTCTAACATAAAACTATTTTATTTAAAGCAGTCACAAATACTTGGAGCAAAGTAGGACGGGATGGGCGGACAGTAGATTAACTTAATAAAGTTGTCACAAATACCAGAGCTGAAGTTGGGCGGGCGGATAGCTTCTCTCTTCCGACATGTCAAATATATATTATAGTAAATAATTTATACTATAAATAATAAAGCTGTAGCAATAATGACTTTTTGCATTCAAATTTATACTTTTTAAATTGACGTTAAAAATATACAATAAAAATAACACCGCTATTAGAAGCGGAATTGATTTGAAAATTATATGTTGTATAATGTACAAAAAGATATATATATATATAACTAAATTTCAAGCCAAATTATTAAATAGTCACATATTATATTAACATTAAAAATAACGATTAAAGCAGGTACAAGTAAAGTATGAACAAAGAAAAAAGTGATTTGTTAATAATATAATTAATAATTATTACATTTCTTAAAAAAATAAAAATCCAGGCAGACAATTTTTGGTAGTCCAGTGGTTACACGCATGCTTCGGAAACCAAGTGCGGGTAAAGCGAGTTCAAATCCTGGGTCTTGCAACTCTGGTATTTTCATGTGAGAATCGTTTTCAATACAATTACCACTTTATGGCAAAGAAAATCATTGTGACGAAATCGACATGTCTGAGTGAATCTTGGAATGATTAGATTTTAAAATAATAATATGACATCAAAATCTTCGTTTAATATATAATGTTAAATGAATCTGAATGTGAAAGTTTATCTGAGTAGTAATGGAGTTAGTAAACTCTGCACGTGATGCCGGCTATCTTGATTTATCCCGGGATTCACGTAGCTTATGTTGTGGATGCTATTACTAAAGATATGTAAATAGTTATAAAAGAAAAGTTTATTAAAAAAATATTTTTAATAAAGATTACTAGTTTTATTTATACCTACAGCTCGATGATGGTTAAATGTTTTATTTTGACGACACGTTTGCTTCAGTTTGTAGTGACCCTACTTGTTATGCCAGAGGTAGCAGGTTCGAGTCCCGCTGGAGGTATTCATTTGTGTGATGAGCACGAATGTTTTTACTCCAGTCATGGGTGTTTATATTTATACTATGTATGTATTTAAAGTTATATATGTGTAGTGTATCAACTATCTGGTATCCATAGCACAAGCCTAGTAGCTTACCATGGAACTAGATGGTGTTGTGGGCTAATGTCCCAACATATTTGCTTATTATTTATTTTTTCTTTAGTATCTTAGGTGACTTGAAAGAAACAGGTATAAGTACCAATCAATATTAATATTGGCTACTATGGCTGAAATCAGAGGACACAGCAAGTCATTGTTATTCTTATAAATTATTTCTTTTTAAGTGAAAAGATCAAATACTTTTAAAGAAAAAAGGTTAAAAGAAAATTCTGTTAATGACATATACGAGTACATACAAACGCAAACAATCGAATCTTAATTCGTATATATTAATAACCTTTACATTATATACCTTTATATACCATTATATACCTTTATAGTAGCCAATATTATTGACTGACCTTTATAAGAATACAAAAACCTAATTAACTCAGTTTCCTCGTCTCCTATCAGAGCTGCGGTAGGATTATTATGTTGCTCTCGCATCACTCTATTCAGCTAGCAGAGGATCTGCATCTCGAATATTATACCATAAATTGTCTGCAATAGACACAAAGGCCTATCATTTGTCATTATTCTGTAAAATACGTTCAATACACGAACTTCATAGAGAGGTTAAGCCCACCGGCAACATTTCAGGTAGAATTGCTCCCCTCCGAAAGTACAAGTTACTTTCATAGTCCTCGAAACCAATGCTCGGACGTGACCCGACCGGGCTTGATTTATACCCGTCTGCTGTAGGAGTAAGCAATAAATAGATGCAATACTAAGAGTATTACATTTATTCATTGCTTTTACATATATAAATATTCATTTCTTATGTATTTGCTTAAATGTATTTAAAAAGGCAATGGTAGCTCAGTGGTAACGTGTCCGTTTGGAATCCAAGAGGCCCCAAATCCCAGATCTCGCACCCATGATATTCTTTTGTGTGAATAATTTATCAAAATGATTAATATTTTTTAACTAAAACTTTAAAAAACCTAATTTATATCAAAATGGTGTGAAAACATGATTTCAACCACCCAATAACATACCTGTAGTAACCTAACAAAGTAGCGAAATTACAGAGTAGGAAAGGAAACAAAATAGAAAAGAGATGGCAAAGACGGCAACTGTGGCTCGTAAGTCGTAACAGAGAGTTATTATTCAAAGTTCTTAGAAGACACATTCGTACGAGACACCTGTTAATGGATACACGTCCTGCCCCGGGGGCTGAGAGACCTCATTGTTTTCTTTTTCTCACTTTTATGTACTTGTGAGAGGTTTACGGGTTGAATGGGAAATATTTTACGGCTTTCCACAACTTTAAAATTGTGTAATACCAGATGAACGGAGATTAACGGATATTAATATGTTTGTGATAGTATTTTGAAATTGTTACAAATGAAATGTTTATAGTATATAAGTCGACAATCGATTGTAGGTATTCTAGATATAGTCACTTTAAAAATATCTAAACAATGAACTAAGATAGATATAAGATAAAAATCTACAATCGTTTATGAATAGAAGTCTAAAAAGAAGACCTCTAGAAATACATCATTATCAATACAATACAATTAAAAAAAATTTAAAGCATCGATTTTCATCGAATAATAACAGGCATAATTTTGTTCACTGTAGACTCGTCTGCAATCAGAGAAAACAAACCTCGACGTTATATTATTTAAGTTAAGCTAGATCAATTTAAGCGCAATCAACCCATCATATTTTTATCATCCAAAAATTTTTACATGATTGAATTTAGAGTGTGGGTGGACGGTGGACGGTGGTGGGTCCACAGACGAATTTTCCTATTATTTTTAATAGCTAAAACCTGCATGCGATGACTAACAAAATAAAATCGGCCTAATTGGATGCGGACGGCAGTATGAATTTGAATTTAAATATTTGTCCATCGATGGATATTTTACACGTTCATAGAAAAAAAATATTTTATTTGCAAAACCTTGCTAAGTTTAACGTGTTCAAACGAAAATTAATCCTATTTTTCTACTTCTAAGGTTTAAAATAGCATATCTCAGTTTTGTATACTTTACTAGGGATTGATTTTCCGACTTTAGGCCCACGATAACTTATAAGTACTTTATTTTTTACTTTTTCGGATGCCCGAAATATTTAAGGGCTGACAAATTGGACGGTCCAGTAATTGATCGCGGTATCCTCTTGCTGGGCTTTTCAATCTATCCTGCTGGAATAAAAAATACGTAAACTTTGAATTTTCGAGTTTCAGATCAATTTTAGAATAATTTTAGAAAAGAATTCTATTGAAAACTGTTGATATATTATAAACATTTATATGATAAATAATAATAACACGATGAGAGTTCAAAAAGAGAGACTGATTATATCATTAGATACCTTCTTATAAGAGAAAAGTGATTTAGCACAGGTGCACCCCCTCTAAGGGAGTAAGGGATACTTTTTAATAAAGTCAATACTAAAGAACTTCTTCTATTACAAATGATTGACAATGAATGACAAATTTTGCAAAAATTAAAGCCGTTTTACAGAAAGATCTCATAAATAAAAATAGTAAAAGTTAGAAAATTTCTCAGCAAATTCAGTAACATTAGCAACGTTCATTTACAACCGTCGTTCTCGATTTTGCAGAGAGCAGACAAAGAGAAACGAATTTGCGAGGAACTACTTCAAACAATTATTGTGGCAAAATCGTTTATACATACTAATATTACAAACGTGAAAGTAACTTTGTGTCTGTATGTTTGTTCATTACCTACCGTTCACGCTTAACTACTGAACATATTTCGATGAAATTTGGCCAAAATGCAATATGTAATGACGAATACACTAGCCCCGTTCTATTGACAATATTGAAATCTGTGTGACTGTGTAGTAATGTGTTGCTTAATAATTTGTTTTTAAATAATAGCAAATTTAAACTTTTTCAAATTACACATAGATCAATTGTGGCTTAAATAATTAATACTATATTTTATATTTTTCTTATGGTTATAAATATAATAATGGCAACACTAAATATAGATTGCTAATTAATATTTTTAAAATTGTAATAATTATAAAAATAATAGCAAAAATTAAATAAATAATTTTCCATATTCAATTATAATTAAAATTATAAAAATATTTAAAGTTAAAATATTGTAATGTAATTGGTGCAATTTTCATTTTGTTAATTGCGTCGGGAAACAAAAATACAAATAAATCCGCGACAAAATCCGAAAAGATAGTTTTATTTAACATATATTATACATAGATTATAAGTATTTCAAATCGATCCCTACATTTTAAAACACTAATCTAAAAGTTTTTCCACAGATCACTACTACGTAATAATAATTACGAAGAGAAGGAAGCAAATTACACAACGTAAAAATAAGCAGTAACAATATTAATAAAGACATTACACTAGTAAATTCACCTTGCAAATATTTTATTTTTGCAATTTTCCGCACCAGAGGGCTCTGCGTAACGGAAATGAGGTGTACTTCCTCCAGACCGGCACTTCCGGTCGCCTATTTCCGCCTGTACTTTGTTCGATGTTTGCTCGAGATATACAATAGGGTGGTCCGCTACTTTGACATATGTCGGTGAATTCAGAAAAGGCGCAGCTTTTATTTTCACTGTTTTGGTCTCTTTGGTATCGACTTTGTACAGAAAAGTCTGGCTCCAAAATTTCGTCTGCAAAAAAGAAAGTTACAATGTGGCGCAGTAGCGTAAATAATCAGGTTCGATTCTAGTATTTTTGTATTAAATATTTAAATAATTAGTTGAATTTTCGTAATAAAAACGTAACTTTATCAAAACTTGCCAACGCACATGATTTTTTTTACACTCCTTACTCCCATGTATGGAGTGTCTTCTACAATATTTTTTTATAACTTGGCAAAACAATTTCTTGCTTTGTATAAAACACCACTTATAAAATATGTTAACTACCAATATTTTCCTAACAAGAAGACTGTCACATAAAGATAAACGAATATGATGAAATTATACGATAATTAACCTATGGTATTTCAATACCATGCACGAAGCCGTATAATATTTTAAAGTTATTTATAATTTTCTTACGATGTAACTCGAACATTTGCAACAATGTTTAGAATGACAGTTGCCTCCTGCAGGGATATTACATATAACACACAGCATTGAATATGATTATTGAATGTTATCTAAGAAAAACTATAAAATAAACACTTTATTACAATTAAGCTACCTGTTTTCGATATGTAAAAGTAATTTTAATCGTTTAAATATTATATCGTAACAAAAGTCTTATTACTCAGCAAAACTTTACGATATAGGTACTCGTATAATGCAAATATATACAACTCAATATATTAACAACGCTATGAAAAAGTTTTGAGAATGCTTTCATTCTCAAGACGAAAAAGAGCTTTAAATTTTATTTGATTAACTTTACACGTCTTTGTTCCGTGTCTCTGGGTGACTTTTTAATCGGCATAAAAAATTTGAAAACATTCTTATTGTTAGAAATAAAGTAATTTTATAAAACATTCACAGCAACAACAATATCCCAAAAAAATTTCTTTAACGTAATGTTTCGATTTCGAGAAAATCAGAAAAAGCCGTGAACTTTTAAGTACGTAAACTAATCTATTTTTGTAGTACAATGGAGAAAATATAAAGGATAGTACAATGATACTATCGAACTGTTCTGATGGTGAGGCCAGGAGTGGATAGTGGAACTCTTCAACGGCCACTGCTAAATACTCAGAGTTCGAGCTTATTTGGTTTGATTTGACAAGCCCAATAATTTAGACTTGGATTTTATAGTGTAGTTTTTTTAATTCGCAGTGATCATATAAAATTTTATAGATTAGAATGATATAATACGTATTATAACACGAGTGTATATGTAAAGTTTTAATAATTCACAATTGATTGGCAGTTTATTACTTACTAGCGACTCACCCTCGCTTCGCTCGGGTTCGTCCCTAGGTTGATTCCCCATACAAACTTTCATCCCCATTAAGTATCCTATGTCCTTCCCAGGGTCTCAAACTATCTTCTTACCAAATTTCATCTAAATCGGTTCAGTAGATCCAGAGATTACCCCCACAAACTTACAGTTGACAAACTTTACCTCTTTATAATATTATAGTATAGATAGGTATATTTTATTTTGGTCACGATAATTTACATCAATTAACTTAAATGGCGTAAGCGAATATTTTATAAAAGTATTTTTTTCTTACAAAATTGGAAAAATTAAAACATAAAAAAAAATAAAAACCACTTTCAGACATTTTAAATTAAAAATTTACGTAACGGTTTTCAAACTTAGTTACTTAGATACCTAATCAGACATTTTAAAAGTCGGAGCCAGCAAGCAAGCAAGAGATACAGAAGGATAAAATCCCATAACTCGCTCCGATTCAATCTTTATAAAAAAACACAAACATTTTCGCATTTATAATAATTTTACTGCCGATTTCCGGGTGCTAACCACCTTATAACTCTGCTGTCTAATTATTCGATATTATATTTAACGTTCGACCAGAGCGCTTAGCACGAACATTAAACAACTACGTCAAGTATTCGTATTGAATTAACTACTCAAAAACATCTATATTCTATAATATTACTGTAATTGTCGGCAGCACAAACGCCTATATCTTACTCACGTGGAGGCAACATAGCAAAAAGAAAGAATGTAATCAAAGGATACGTTTGAAAATTGCTGTAATTGTATTTTTTAAGTCAATTATGGTGATTAAGAAAATGAAATCCGCGATATGAATAATTTAAATTTGTGTCTTAAGTAATGTAAAACAATATTTGAACGAAAATTCCAACATTATAATTAAATATTCGGTACATAAGAATGTTCTATATTTTTTAGATTTCCGGATGTGGCCATTTTATGTTCTATCACTTAAACGTCGCATCAGAAAAGTAATATACAAGTATGTCAATTCATAATTTGCCAGCAGCGGGAATAAAACTCTTGACTAAGTATTAAATTGCGCATGAAGACGGCTATTTTAGATATTTCTTTACACTTCAATATATTTAGAATTTTGTGGTCAATTTAAAAATGCAAATGTGGAGATAATTTTTATTTGACATTTAATGTCCCGGATAGTGTGATTTAAAAATAATAATTATTTTTAAAATGGTACAAAGCGTAAGCTTAGCGATTAAGATTTTTAAGACATTTTTAACTTACTACCCTAAATGCTCTTCGTATTTATAGATTCACGGGATTATTAGGGATAATTTTTTCAAATTTAATTTAGTAGCATACCGGCAGTTTAATTAGGTAAAATGTGCATTATTTACAGGCTACACTCTTACTAAATAACCCTTCATTCTATTGGTAAAACCACTATGAAATTTCGTACCCACAGTAAGTAGTTTCTGAAATTTCTCCGTACAGTCACAAATTAGAGCGGTTCCTTCTCTAGGAATGTGATATAAAAGTACTCATGTTCCAAAAAAAAACCACTTGATCCATAAAGCCATAAATGAGTCACTACTTAAAAATATTTATTATTTTTTTGTTATTTTTCGTAAGCTTTCATGAAAATATATTTAAAAAAATAATGAGAATTATTTCTCCTTACTAAAAAGAGATCCATTAAAGAAGATTTTATGCGTATAAAAAAACATCATTAAATCGATTCATACAAAATAATGTAATATAGTTGAATATAAAACTTCCTTTTTAAAAGTCGGTTAAAACAGTACTACATATAAATTATTGTAATCTACATAATTTGAAATGTTACAAAACGATATTTGAATAGTTCTTAGCGAGTAAGAAAGCGAGCCAAATGTGAACATTTGTTCGAGCTGGTTTCTGGCGTGAAGCCAGTGCCGCGTTTGTAAAAAGTGCGAAAACTAAATTATGGACACGTGTTCAGCTTTTTCCGCTTACAGCTCATATTAATGTGTCATTTGTATAAAATATATTACGAAATTGTTATTGATAATGATTTCGCACATTTTATGCTTATTGTTGACGACGCGTTTAGCCCAGTTTTTAGTGACTCTACTTGTACCAGCGGTCGCGGGTTCGGTACCACTGGGGGCATTGATTTGTGTGATGAGCACGAATGTTTGTACTCCAGTCATGGGTGTTTATATTTATAATATGTATGTATGTATGTATTTAAAGTTATATATGTGTAGTGTATCAACTGAATCAATGAAATAGACTATGACTTGAAGTAGCATGTAGGGCAAGGGTAGTGGCAAGTCGCGGCGCTATCTGTACATAATATTGTGAATGATAAAGATAAGTAAAGCAAGCATATGTCATTAGTGTGTATAATACCTAAATCATATTTGCTAAAAGCAACATTCAAACGGAATCTAATGATAATATCAATAAAAAAATACACAATTTTACGTTACATTCCATATCTAAGACCAAACGCCATAACTATCCTATAAAACTACATAAATCTTTTAAAGAAAACAAATCTTGTGTTTTAAAGTTCAGATCTTGTGAACCATAGCGTACAATGTATGCGGACTTATCACCGACCTGCAGCGTGGGAGCCGTAACTTTGATTTATGATCTTGAAATTTTAATTTTACACGTTCTACAAGTACGTGCAAGTAATAAATATATTTTATATATTAATTATTTATTTTTCTTAAATAAATAGGTGTATGGTGTGTTACTCACATCATTTGAAATCTATATATTATTTTATATAATAGCATATTGAGTTATTTTATAAAAAATACATTATTTTATATAGAAAACTAAAAATGACGATCTTCGATTTATAAATAATTAAATATTTTAATATTTAGGCTCAAAATCACGACGCCGAAATGTATGCCGATCAACTACGTCGTTGCTATGTCGACGGACAGACAAACATGTAAATTGTTCACTTTACATAAAACCATCTTTGAGTTTAATCTTTTATTAAAAGATGAATAAGTTAAATCGGAGTCAGAGGAACCATCATAATATACATATAAAAAATACACGAATTGTATTATCAAAAATTGATACTTAAACTACCCCCTATCTCACAAAACAAAAAAAAATATTTAAATTGGTCCAGCCGTTTCTGACTTATATTGGTTTTATATATATAGATTTTAAATATATATAGATATAGGCGTTTTACGATTGTAATATTTATTAAAGGATTTCATTTAAAGCTTATTTAAAAGCTTTAAAAATGTTTCTTATTAGTTCGCTAGCGCTTGTTAAATAAGACCTCTCTATGCGAGTGGGGAGGAACGTAAAGTAGAAAAGTTATTTTACACCTCCATTGACAATACAAGTCCTAGGGCCAGTATAAAATAAAACTGTAAACATTTTATTACTACAATATATGTACATATATGCTATGCCCACAAAATTTGCCATTTATTACGATTCTTGTTAGTTGTGTATATATTATAATAGTACACTAGGAAGGTTTAATGTGTTCGCTCGCGTTTTTATATTTTATATGGCAATGATAAGAGTTATTCAATTCAAATTCTAAATTTAATTTTATATTAAATAGTTTTTCCGAAAATCTTATTGAAATAGTCATTATTATCAATACAGAGATCGAATCTATAATATTGAGAATTTTTCTCTATCTAAACCATTGGACAGATTTTGATGAAATTTGCCATGATGATAGCTGGTTATCCGCGTTAACATATAGGATACTTGTTACTGTGGAAAATATCTC